GAAACCCGTCGCGGGCTGTCGAAGGGTTTTCAGCAACCTTGTGAGTAGTTTCCTTTATAGATAGACAGCTATTCTCGGTATTTACTTATCGATCCGCCGACAACTTGGATTTCAGGTTGAAACCACTTACACCCTACCCGGCTGCGAAAGTGTGCATCCCATGCTGGCGACTACCCACTATCCGCTGACCACACAACGAACTTCCTTGTGCCAAACGCCCAGATAGCCAAATATTCGATTTCAGATCATTCCAACAATTTTCGGAAAATGTCATAGAAACTTCCATTTTTGGTGTAGTAACACCCATTCCGATCGAAGTTGGAACGATTTGGTGTCACAACCGTCCTGCCTGTTTATGAATAGTATAAACACTGTCTGACCAGTAACGAAGTCTGAAATGCTAATCAATTTTGCTTGTCCTTCAATTCAAGGGGTGGGTTGAACGAACATCTTGTGTTGACAAGGCAGACCATCGTCCAGGTGTGGTTTGTAGCAGTCGACCAAGATTACTGGCTCCTCTGGCCTATCAATGTCCCCTTTTGAAAGTGCCCAAAAACGTCGTTCCCAAGGGACTGCGAATGAAACGTCACCACGCGAAACTCAGCGCGCCAAGAATACACAGACAGACTGTCGACCCACAAAGCTAGTCCCGACGTTTTCAGGTTTGAAAATCAGCTGTGTTGTCCAGCACGCTCCAAGCATCCTGGCGGTGCCTGACGGATGGACAAATCGACCGAGAGAACCAGGACAATTACTGGATCGCCGTTCGATGGGTCGAGTAAACCAATCACATTGTTGAACAGTGAACACGTTCCCATGTTCCGATGTGACAATCCAACGTGCGCTGATCGAGCAGTGGTCACACGTTCGTCTTGAATCTCAGATCTTCCGAGTTCGAACCTCAGCACGTGTCAGGGTATGCAGTCCCGATGACTTCTAAAAAAATTGAAACTCGAGTCCAGAGCTTCATCCGTTTGATGTGGACTTCTTGGGAGGATTGCGCCTATTCTACTTGTCCTCTTTTTAAAAGCCTTAATTTCCCGATATTGAACCGAAACTTTGATGCTACATTTTGTGTCAGATGAATCACCTAAGTGTGATCGTTGGTTTTTACAGTAAACTTACAAAGAATTCCTCCCGTTGACTCTACTTCAAGGTGACTTCTTCTTGGAGGTTTCCTTGTATTAGGTCGGATGCGAAGGCATAAGTAATGGATGCCGGAGAGATTCTCGTCTCACCTAACCACGTAGCTGCTTTCGCTCGGTTGATTTTGAAAACTTGCCTGGTCAACAAAAGACCTAAACTCCAACTTTCCACACACACCTACCCTATCTAACACCCCCCTAGAATCACTGACTCCGTGCCAAGGGACTTCCACCTTCCATTCGTTACTCTGTTGCCAACCGGTTCGGCCATTGTTGCGCCTTTCCCAAGGCCTTTATTACTGGATCATATTGCATAGTTTTTCTAACTGCCGTACCGACAAGTTGCCTACGTAGACCGAATGACATATTCCAGGTGTACTGCAGTTCAAAGACTGGGTTCAATAGTGTACATATCCGGTGGAGAAGAAATTGGACCGTCTGAATATTCATGATGAGTATTCTTTCGTCGGGTGTTCCCCCTCCGCCAACAGAAACTACAGCACACCTAAACTTAGCGAGCAACGTCACGAAAAAATCAACAGACTGTCACGACAACAAGACCGTAATTCCCATTGGGGGGTTTCGAACGGAAGCGCGAGCCTATTCAATTACTCCCATCGATTTTGAAATGAATACGGGACAAGAGTGTGTTCTTGTCATCCTAAGCTCGTGTCTAACGACCAGCTGTGTAGACACGTCTCGCCATTATGGTGCGTGCTATAAGAATTCCCAAGGATGTCACGTGAGTCCAACGAGCCTACCCTGCTGTTCCAGCTAACACATTGGTCGTATTTATGCCTTGTGAAGACAACGGGTGACCGCGAGCTACGTCGACTTGGGTCTGAACGTCCCTAAAACATTTGTCTTTCGCCGAAGATCCGACATGAACTACCACACTTTCAGACAAACGGTGGCGAGATAGCATATTGCTAAAAATTGCACTTTCATGACAGTATGGTTGATAATGTACTCAAAGCATGAATCGCGAAGACCAGAGGAGCACTAAGCCACCTTGAGAAACGAGTCTGGCGCAAGTGCCGCTTGTGTGCACGATCCTGAGTGCTGCACTGCAGAGGTGACCGGCCTCCGGACACTTGGTCTACGCGAAATTCAGCAGTTTAAGTAGGCAGAGAAATGTCCCAAAACGAAGTATTTCATATTGTGATCGAGTGCGGTCTGACTTGAAACCAACTCTGCCGAAAGTAGAGTAATGGAATCGACACAAGAATCCGGGATCTCAGTAACAAGCAATCAACAGCGCCGGTATTCACTGCTTGTTGAGAAACAGGAGATCTGATTCCCTTGGGACTACCAGGCTACAACGCACCGGATTCCTGGTAAACTGGTTGTGGATTGCCGAGTATGCGCAAACACCCAATGGCTGACCGGCGAATCCGTTTCGGATGTCACCCAGTCATACCATAAATGAAAGGTATTGAAGACCATTGCTTCTCGTATTCACTTTTCAAAGAGAACAGGCATCTGACCACAAGAAGATAGCCGTTGAAATGGTTTCTGCCCCATTCCACTGAAAACAGCTGTGCTGTGAGAAGGTGCCCCGGCCGGACGGATCGAGTGGACACGGAAGCTGTTAGTGGAGCTCGGCAGTTCACTTTCTGAATGCAGTCAGACTGTGGAACGACCACTGACTTAGACTTCTGGCCCCTTTAGATGGGAATTTACTATGAATTTCCAGCACTTGCACGGTTGCGAGCATAAATCAGTTAGACTAATTGGGTTCAGGATTTCACAGCCACACTCGTGTCCCATCAGGATAACATATCTTCTCCATCCCCTTAATCGGAACTTGTGTTCGACTGTGAAAGCCAAAAAGATGCTTGACCAACGGCGTAAAACATAAATCGATTTTAGAGCAAAACGAGTATCCTGGACTAGACGGTTTACACAACAGACAACTTGAAGACATAGCTGAGAAAAGACGTCAAAATTCGACGCTCATTCCAAGGAGACTCGAGCGAACGAGTTACCAGAGGATCTTGACGACATGCGCGGCTGCTAATCTGTTTGATGACCTGTCATTGAACCGACAAAAAGTACATTCAAACCCCACGAAAACCTGCGACCTATTTTTACGTAGCGTACTCGGGGTTAAATAACCTACATGTACTTTTATGTCAGGCGATGTACTTTACTCGCAGCAGCGAGATTTCGGATTTCCTGGAATATAGATTGCATCCCACAAAGTAAACCCAGAGAAGTTCTGATTCACTGTACAACGTTTTCATTGTTGTTGGGATCCAAAGGCAGCGCGCATCACATGAATTCCGGGCAATTTGACCCCCAACTAAAAAGGATAACTCCCATTGGTTAACTGAGCTCACACAATATAAAGGTGGGATTATATACAAGAAGTTGAGTACCACTCTTCTGTTAAGCCTAGGGCTATCGGTCCCCGAAAGTGAGGATAACGGTTAGCTAAAAAGACAGATTTGTACGTAATAACGAATGATTCACTGCGAAAAACCGCGAAAAAGGGGGGCAACCATTTGACACAAACGAAAGATAGCTGATCATTTACAAACCGGATTGATCATATGAAAACAAAACAAAATGAACAGAGAAAACGGAGCACCGCGCCAACACGAGGGGGGAGACGGGTAAAAGAGAACCACCAAGAAACTACAGATGATCATCGATCACCAAAAAACAAATATATGGAAACGAATGATAACGAAACTCAATCAAGCTTTTGGGGAACCTCGGTATTGATTGGTTCAGCGACGGAGAGAGGACCATTTTTTAACTTGGCGGAACCATTCGAAGTAGTCGCCGGCTTTAGCCGTGATTTCTTTTCCTTAGATGACTTGGTAGAGGTGGAATCCGTGGACATCAGGGTATAGACAGGCCGAAATGATTCGAAGAACCCACAGTCTTCAAAGTAGTTAGGAAACAGCCAAAAGGTGTACTTCCCCATGGTGACTAACCAAACGGAGAGGTATAACAAGAAACGGATAAGGGCTACAACGAGCAGAAGACCAAAAAGGAGAGAGGCTAGTATGGTGAGATAGTAGGCGCCAGTTCGAAGTTCTGTCGGCCAAATTGGAAACAGGCAACATAAGATTATGCCAATAATGACGGCGGTACCCGCAAGCCAATTGAACAAGCCTGGAGGTGGCTCATACACCCACACGTACACAGTAGATGGATCATCGACAACGAATGTCTGTTCGTTGGACATCTCCAAACGCACTGGTTTCGATGAAGAGGAGCTTTGTGATTTCGGGTTCCCAGATGTCTTGCAAGTAGACTCCACATTCGAACCTTTTCCCGTGACTGATGCCTTGTCTTCCGCGGGCGATTCCGGCAAGGCTGTGGAATCTACAACTTCCTGGAAGAGACAGGACAATCAAGACAATAAATTGACCCCTGTATTCACAAAGGTACGGGGAAGGATGAAACGTTGTTTTGGTGACCAGCAGAGCCCCATCACAGTGAGCTAATTTGTGACTCCCGAATACAAACTGCCGAATGGACGGCGGCGAAGCCTACACATTTTTCGCAACATCGGCACTACACTTAGCGAGATGTCCTCCAAAAAGGTCATTGGTCCAGAAGCGTTTTCCGTCAGCCAGAAGAGGAAATCCAACCGGAAAGTGTCAAATGCAAAAACAATCCTCTGTTGGAAGGGATTGCTGTATTTAGAACAATGAGTTAGCGCGTCAGTACCCCAGCTTTGTTCATGTTTAAGTTCACGAAGCGGAAAAAGACCGTTCAGCTGTAGCACGCTTTCGGTGCGTAACTGCCATGCCACCCGAAGGAAGCACGAGGGCTGGGATACTACCAGATTGCTCAAGTCTACACAGGGGAATTCGAGAGCCAGAGCTTGGTTTCGAACCACGGATCTTCCGGTCCGTAATTCGCGTCCCAAAACCACTGAGCCACCTCGCCCAAAGTGGAGTAAATTCCTTCGTTCAACTGACACCCTTTCGGTGCACGGTTTCCATGCTAAAATGTTGCCAGTCAGTCCAGGCACAGAAAGGACAATCGGGAAACTAGGGTTGGGTTTGAACCATGGACCTTTTGACCAGTGGTTCCGCATCTTAACCGCTGGGCTACCTCGAGCGAACTCAAAAAAGTACACCATTTAGCTATGTACTATCCCCCTGCGAACCAATTTTCCACATTTAATGTTCCTTATCAAGCGATGCAGTAAAATTCAGGTGTCTGCAACATTCTGGCTAGGAGCGACTCCTCGCGACCTCCGTTGTTTCGAGGAAACTCATTGGCAGTCAGCCGGCCATATGCGGATGTCCTGAGCGTGTCTTACTAGTGATGGGGCTGCATACATCGCATACACCGGGAAGTTCAATGGTGTTTAATGATCCAACCTAATCCGACACTTAACAGCAACTGGCGATTAGATGTACAGATCACAGCGTGTCCAAGATGTCTTCTGTGTGTGCTACGTCCACGAGTTGGAAGGCCACATCAAGAAAAATGGGGCGAGATGGCCCAAGTGGTTAGAGCGCGAATTTACTGACCGGAAGGTCCGTGGTTCGAATGCGACCTCCGCCTCTCGACTTCCCCTGCCTGAGCTTGAGCAACCTGGCAGTATCCCAGCCCTCGAGCTTCCTTCGGGTGGCATGGCAGCTAGGCACCGGAAGGGTGCTACAGCTGAACGCTTTCTTTCTTTCAAGAAGTATACACTATTTCACGACAAATAAACTACGACGGGTGTTAAGTTCAGACTGGAAGATTTCAATCTAGAAAAGTGTGACATTGCAGTAGAATATCATCTGAATTTACGAGCCAGTAAGTCATTCACTATTGAAGAGGAAATCCAAGTAGCTCAGAATGAACCTTCTTACTTCTGTATCCACACAGGTCGCCAGCTCACCGGAGGTGTCTTTGTTTTTGCTGTCGTCAGATCGTTTTTTGCACTTTGTCTTCGTCGACGACTTCTCATCATCAGCTGTACGTTGCTTCTGCGGCACCAACTTCCGCTTGACCTTGATGGCACTTAAACAGAATTATGGGCCGATTGGTGAACTTACCGATAGAACATTTGCTTCTGAATCAAGGTGTTCATAAATGACACGGCTGCAGCAGGAGAGTTGAAAAGACGAGGCTTGGGGTTTTTAGCACCAGGTTGTACCTTGGCCCAGACAGAGTCGAGTAGCATATCTATGGCCTCCTGAGGTGAGAACGCACGTACAACTGATCCACCGAGACGACCGTCTGTCGTGGGCAGTTTGCGGTAAAGGAACTTGGCTACTTCCAGCTCGTCTTGTGTCGGTTTCCATGGTTCGTATGAACTTTGTTTACGTTTTTTACGTTTATCGATCATTTGAGTCTGAAAAAAAGTATAAAAAATGCGAAAGTAGCACGTTCATCTCTCTCTAGACCATCAACTGTCATCCAGACTTTACGTAGTTGGCCGGTACAATCCTATGAGTTGGAACGCTGGTCTTTCGCTCACCAAACATGAAAAGATGACCGTTCAGCCATAACACCGTTTCGGTGTTTAACTGCCACGCCACCCGAAGAAAGCACGAGGGCTGGGATACTGCCAGGTTACCCAAGTCTAGACAGGGGAAGTCGGGGGGCAAAGGTCAGGTTCGAACCCAAACACATCGTTAGAATACTTCACTCTGCCCTGCCATGCCATATCTGCACAGTGAAATGCAACATTGGCTCGTCAGTTCACCAGTTCTTGTCCTCCACTTCACCCTATGTTTTGTTCCCCACTGAGGCGCAAATCTCCGGATCAGAAGACTTTATCCACCCACAGCTTTCCAACTATAAGCTCTTCCACTGTTTTCGTCTTATGAACGGAGTTCCTCAGCTTCCTCCCCTAGCGCCAATGACCCGCAACTAAAATAAGCCTTCCAGGATTTAACAAACAGTTTTCCCGTGTATCCCTTTCCACATGATGACGACGCGCTCTACTTTCTCTAGGTTGAACGAAACTGTGAATAGCCACGTCATTACGAAAACCCCCGGAGCAAATGGCTTCCCACATTGGTCTTGCGGGCCGTGCAACTGCATTATACTCAACTTTTCTGTTTTTCAGCCACGGCTATAGTATCGAATCTTTGGTCTCTTTTCCACATTCCACTCATCAGATGACACCGTAACATCTGTCCTATTGGTTCGTCAGCTCATCGTCTTATCAATGGTTCCTTCCCGTTTTCCCCTTAAAATCAAACTGATATTTTCGCACTGACTGGGATGGCATGCGGAAACTTTTAGGTTGCGCCTGTTTATCCCTAATTGTTCAAACCAAAAAAGCCTCCATTCCCGGAACGACTCAACTACGCAAGCCTGTGGGCAGCAAAAAAAAAACAAAAATAGACCACACACGCGCTGAAGTTGCTACGTTTACTACCTGATCACTCATGACCGGCAGGGTCAAACACGAGTTTGTGAAGTGCAAAACGTGGAGACACGAACGATTAGTTGTCCGCCCCATCCCCCACGTTGCATCTAATTGAATACTGTGAGACAGTCAAGAATGCGGTTCAGTGACTTGGCTAGTTGATTCGTGTCACATGACCAAGGCAGACTCAGCGTTCGTACGAGACGGTTTTGACAACACAGTACTAGGTTTCAGAGGTATAGCGACTGCCTCGGCTGTAGTCGAGCAACGCCCCTGAACAAATACTGGCAGTCTATTTGGTACACGATAAATGACTTGAAATGACTCATTTGGAATAACTACGTGCCCGGTGTCAATTAGGAGGGACGCAACTGAGCCTCCGCCTGAACTGTTGAGGTTAATGGTATTCCGGTAAAAGAGGTGCTCGCGTATTCTCTTAGAAAGTTGACGTGTAGTGCACCCAGCATACTCCGCTGAGCAACAACAACACCCTATTCTGGGTGGGGACTGATAGTTTGTCTTTGAGGTTTAAGTTGGACGAAGGGTTGGTTGTAAACCAAGACTATACGCCTGCGAAACTTGCTACTGAGCTGTCAAAAACGTTTCGTACGAGCACTAAGTCCACCTTGCCTATGCGATACGAATCAACCGGCAGTCACTCAGCAGCCCTCTTGACTATCTCATAGCATCCAACTGGATGCGACATGGCGCAGACAAACGATCGTTCCTGTCTCCACTTTTTGCATTTCACTAGCCAATCTTCGCAGCGTATTTAATTTTTCGTCCTATTTTAAAAACGTTTCGTACGAGCACTAAGTCCACCTTGCCTATGCGATACGAATCAACCGGCAGTCACTCAGCAGCCCTCTTGACTATCTCATAGCATCCAACTGGATGCGACATGGCGCAGACAAACGATCGTTCCTGTCTCCACTTTTTGCATTTCACTAGCCAATCTTCGCAGCGTATTTAATTTTTCGCTCCTATTTTAAACACGAGTTTGTTGCGCGATGGACAGCCTGGGGAAAGGCCCAATAGAAACCAATCTTTCCCGAGTCTGATAAACGTTGGTTGAGACTTCTGTCCTTCCCCAGTCCCACCAGCACTTGGCATATCTGTAAATCCCAAATCCCCCGTTGTAAAAAAAGCAGAGCTCTTTATTCAACTTTTTGACTTCAAAATTTCCATTCGTCCATATACCAGATTACTAAGCTTCCACTTACCCACACCACAAGGCATATTTTCTGCCTCCTGTCAGAACTCAACGCCTAAAAAATACCTGACGGAGAGAGTATCCATCCCAGTTTGTTCCCTAACGGTGCTCCTGGACTTGGCGCAATCACTTCTAAACCCTTCCGTCTACCCATCATCATCATCAACACCATCGACAGCACAACATCAGAGGTTAAACGCTGATGCTTCCCTGGCGTATTTAGTTGGAAGCATCATTGTGAAGAAAAAAGTGGGGATGGGGAAGGGATATGGCGCTAGCCTACCATAATGATTCCGGGATAACTACACCTCCAGACACTCCGGCAATCTGGATAAAAAGTGAGAGCAGGAACGCCACTGACATCGATTGGCAGCGTCTCCAACCATTCACAAAGGCATCATTGGGACCCCATCCTGGAAAGCGAATAGAAGCGACAACACCCGGACTTCTCAAAATCCCATTCACATTTTGATGCCAGGTTAAAATTAGACCACACTGCTTTGCTTGCGTCACTCTGACAAATAGTTCAACAAACGATGCGATACATGGTCCAACAACCGCAGCTTCGGGTGGCGAACACATTGTTCAATTAACGTCCTCGTTTCCCAATTGTTTCGTCGTGGAGTCGCCGACATCAGTCTACACGACCTATGACTCCAAGACAACGGTTGTCTAAGACCTCAAAACGCCTTGGTTCCGTTGCGTCATTGACAGCATGACAGTGTCCAACACCGATGTTTCGCTGCCTTACAACCATGATTTATTTGAAGTCCTTATTGCGAAGAAGAGAATAAAGGTGGACAGGAAAGGGAATTAGTGCTGCAGTCCGAGGTGCCTACACTTTCAAACCCTCATTCAAGCAATCTGGATCGAAACTGACAACAAGAACGCCACTGACATCGGTTGGCAGGCATTTCTTGCAGCGTCTCCAACCAGGCGCAGTGAGGACCACGCGGTCCCAATCCTGGGAGGCGAATAGCACCGACAGCACCCAAACGTTTCGTGATTTATCTGTCAGGTCAAGGGTTGGCCACCTCTCTGGTTCCGCCAAATTAAGTTGGGCATGGAAAACAGCACTCTGTTCAGCAAACGATTGTATATGGGCAAATGCGCGTGGTCAGTTTTCTGGATCGTAAGTTGATTATGGGGATCGTATTTTGGTAAGCCTGGTTCACTATCGCATGGTTTCGATCATCAGTAAAAAAAATACCATCCAGATAGTTGGCTCCTTTCTAGTATGCTCGTAACTTACTTCTCCCGATCACCCTATACTATCCTCAAACTTTCTAACCCCGAGTATTGTGACGCCTCACAGAAAGAATCTAACACCTGATAGTGATTGACAAGGGGTGAGAATTTCCTCCATTCTTCCGGTCCTCTATCCCGAGCTTTATATTTTCGCACGGCTGCACATATACGTCTGCGTTTGACACACGCATCATTAGATAAGGTGTCGGTATTACCCTCCCCACGAGATTGTTTGTGCGAACCGAGGGCTCAATTCTCTTATTCTTCGGTTACAACACACCGGAGTCAACCGATCACGTTAGCATTTTGGATCTGGCTGTCATGAGCGTGTGACACAGACCACCGTTCGAGCTGTGACAGTCGAGATGCTGAGGTGTCAGTTAGTGCGTAGAGTCAGACCTAGTCGACGAGTACTATCTCAGCTGGCCACGTGAACGACCGAAATATTTTGGTGATCTGCATGAGTAGTTAAGAGGCGTCACCGAACTGTCAGCTGTTCCTGTGGCGACAACACCTTTGTCATGATTGACAGCATAACATAGGTAGTCAGTATTGATTCCTTGATTCAGTACAACCATAATTTATTTGAAAAACGTATTGTGAAGAAAGGATTAAAGGTGAGCGAAGAAAGGAAATTAGTGCTACAGTTTCACAGTCATTCTGTGGGCCTACACCTTGTTAGGAGGCACTCCTAACGAACATATTGCTCAACATTTCTCTCTCTCTATTTCAGCCTTTCATTGGACCGTTAGTTCCATTCCATTCTTGATTCTTCGAATCTCGACATTG